GTCCGTTCCCCTGGAATCTGCCAAGGTCCTCCTCCAGACCGGCTGTTAGGCCGGACAGGCAGGCCCCAGGGACAAATGCTACGTCAACCTGTGTGCGCAGGGGCCAGAGTGTGCCAGGTGCTCTCTTGGAGGCAGGGATGCTTAGAAGGGACCAGATCCAATCCCTGCCTTCAAGAAGTCTCCAGTCTCGCTGGCAAGACACACGCAGGCGCCAGTCGCGCTGATGAAAACAAAACAAAGGGCCCCGTAGGTGGAGCCGGTGACGGGACGCTTTCTGGAGGAGGTGTGGTTACTGTCAGGCTGGAAGGCGGGGGCAGGGGATTCCGAGCCCACCTGGCGCCCTCCTGGGGCCCTCCTGGGACTCCCTGCTTTCTCCGCACCCCTGCCAGCACCTGGTGACGTTCTGCCTGGGCGAGGAGGATGGCGTGCACACCGTGGAGGATGCCTCGCGGAGGCTGGCGGTCATGGACAACCAGGGCCGCGTCTGGGCCCAAGAGATGCTGCTGCGCGTGTCTCCGGACCGTGTCACGCTGCTTGACCCCATGTCCAAGGTGTCAGGGGACACGTGGGCGGAAGGGGCAGAGGCATGGAGAGCTTGACTCTAGGGACGTCCGAGTGTGACTCTTGGCCCCCACGCGTCCTTCCTCTGGGAACTTTGGCAAGAGCTCTCTGCCCTTCGTTTTTGGAGCGTCACTGCAGCCCCGCAGGGTCGCCTGGGCCGTGCTGAGGTCCCAGCTGGCACTGCTGTCATTTGGGATCCTCGGATCCGAGCCTCCGTTTACCCGCCGTCCCGCCCCGCAGGAGGAGCTGGAGTCGTACCCGCTGGGTGCCATCGTGCGCTGCGACGTGGTGACGCTGCCTGGCCGGAGTCGCTCGCTGCTGCTGCTGGTGTGCCAGGAGCCGGAGCGCACGCAGCCCGACGTGCACTTCTTCCAGGGCTTGCGTCTCGGGGTGAGCGGGCCCGGGTCCGGGGAGCCACCTCACGCAGGGCTGGGACCCTGCGGATGCCAGGGGGCGGAGCCGGAAGTGGGAGGAATCCAGAGCTTGGGCGGTGATGGGGCGGGGCCTCCGCGGGGCGGGGCCTCTGCGCGGGGCGGGCCTGGGCCAGTGGAGGGGGCGTGGCCTGGAGAGAGGCGCTGGAACGGATGGGGGGTTTGAGGGCAGGTGGGACCGGGACGAAGTAGAATGGAGACTGAAACTAAGGGCCGGGACGGAACCTGACAGCACCTGGGGGAGGGTGGATGGGAGCAGCCAGAACTCGGGGCGAGTATGGCCTAGGGGCAGGAAACCCCAGCACCCCGGCTCCGGGATTGGGGACGCGGCTTAGGGCAGGGGAAGAAGTAGCAGAGCGTGGGCGGGCGTGGGCACCACGTGTGGGCGCCACGTGTGGGCGCCACGTGTGGGCGCCGACGTGGAGGGACTCCGGCACCCAGCCAAGGAATCGACTGAACCGGACGGCCTGCTGGGACGAGGGGTAGGTGGGGTGGAGGCCCGGCCTGACAGCATGATTGGCAGGCGGAGCTGATCCGAGAGGACATCCAGGGGGCTCTACACGACTACCGGTCCGGCCGCGGGGAGCGCAGGCCCGCGGCGCTCAGGTAAGAAAGAGGGCTGGGCGGGGAGCGAGGGGAGAAGCGAGGACGGGTGGGGTCTCAGTCTCGGCATCCGACAAACGGGCTGCCACCGCTCGCCCACAAGAGAACGAGTTTGGAAGCCTGTCGGACAGAGCGTGGTTCGGGTCTTGCCAACCCCCCGCAGACACGTGTACCCCCTCTCCAAGAGTCCTTTTCCCAGTGCTGGTCCTCCGTTTCTCCTCCCTCAGGCCTCAGTTGCCCTCCGCACAGGTGCTCGCCCCTCCCCTTGTCTCCAATTTCTCTGCGCCACCTGCAGCCTAGGTTTGACTCGGTTCTGAGCCCCGCTGTCTCCCCCGCCCTGGCCCCGGGTGGACCCCGGGTGGACCCCGGCTGGACCCCGGCTCTTTCCCCTCGTCCCTCCGCAGGGCTACGCAGGAGGAGCTGCAGCGCCGCCCCTCGCCGGCCGCCGAGACCCCTCCCCCGCAGCGCCGCCCGTCAATCCGCGCGGTCATCAGCACGGTGGAGGCGGGCCGGGGGCGACCCCAGGCGGAGCCCATCCCGGAGGCGGAAGAGTCGCTGAGGCCGCGGCCTGGCCTGGCGGGGACCTCAGGCAGCGCTGCCCCGGCCTCCCCTGACCTGGGGCCCCGCGGCCGGGACCTGGCCAGTCTGCAGGCGGAGCGGGAAGTGGTGCGTGGGGCGGGGCTAGGGCGTGGGGGCGGACCGGCTGTGGATGTGTCCCGCCTCCCGGGAGGGGGTTGGTGTCAGACTTCTGGGGGTGTGGCTGGCGGTGACCGATCTAGGGGGACAGGCACAGGCATCTGAGGGCTCGGCCTGGCCTGGGAGGATGTCAGGGTGCTCGGCCTAAGTAAGGGTTTGCCTGGGGTGATGAGGGGCCTGGACTCCGCATCCCCGAGTCCCACGCGTCCCCTGTTCTGTCCCCCAGGACATCCTGAACCACGTGTTCGACGACGTGGAGAGTTTCGTATCGAAGCTGCAGAAGTCTGCGGAGGCGGCCCGGGTGCTGGAGCACAGGGAGCGCGGCCGCAGGACCCGGCGCCGGGCGCCTGGGGGTGAGGGCGCCCCCCGCCCCCCAGTGGGATCCGGAGCATCCAGTCCATCCCAAATACCTTCCCTCTCCCTACGGCCTCCCCCTGTCCCCTGTCCCCTGTCCCCTGTCCCTACCCCCCGCCCAGGTTTGATGCCCCATCACCGGGGATCCCACTGGGCCCCTGCCTCCCCCCGCTGCAGAGGGTCTCCTGACGCTGCGGGCCAAGCCGCCCTCCGAGGCCGAGTACACGGACGTGCTTCAGAAAATCAAGTATGCCTTCAGCCTGCTGGTGAGAACGGGTCCAGCCTGGGCCAGCGGGGGGTCAGGGGCACGGCGAGCCTGCCGCGTCCGAGCTCTGAACCCGGCACCTGCCCCGTCCCTCAGGCCCGGCTGCGTGGCAACATCGCCAACCCCTCGTCCCCCGAGCTGCTGCACTTCCTGTTCGGACCCCTGCAGTTGGTGAGGCACCCCATCCTTAGGTACCCCCTGTGGCAGGAGGAATCGGGGTTCCACTTCCGGAGGGGGGGAGGTGATGGCGTGCTCACTCCTGCACCCCCGGCAGATTGTGGACACATCGGGAGGCCCCCAATTCGCAAGTGGAGTGCGGCGGCCGCACCTGACGTCCGAGGCGGTGGCGCTGCTGCGGGACAACCTCACCCCACGGGAAAATGCGCTCTGGACCTCTCTGGGGGACGCGTGGACCCGTCCGGGGTGAGGGGCGCCGTGACGGAGGGGCGGGGCCGGCAGGGAAGAGTAGTTGCTGGGCTTAGCTAGAGGTTGACCAAAGCAGTTGAATGAACCCAGGACCTATGCCGGGACCCGGCTGGAGGAAAGGCCAGAAACTCCTGTGAAGGAGAGGCCCAAGACTGACCAAAAGACCGGGCTTGGAGGAGTGGGGTGGGCTGTACCGGAGGGCTACGGCTTCGGGAAGGACTAGCCTGTAGGTTGGGGAAGGGGGTAAGAGCAGAGCCGGAGGAGACTTGGGGGAAAAGAGGCGGGATGTGCTTAGAATCAGAAGGAAGATTCAGAGGCCGGGCGCAGCGTTAGGGTGGAATCCGTGTGTTTGCAGATACAGTTGATGCCGGGGGCGGGGCTTCGATGCCGGGGAGAGGCCTGGGGCGGGGGCGGGGCTGGGCAAAAGGGGGCCAGGTAGGATAGAGCCGAGCCGACAGGAGGGGGAAACCTTACTGAGGTTAATAGGGCTGGAGGCCACCCCAGGAGCCCTGAGCCCCGAGCCCCTCGGCCACAGGCTGGAGCTGCCCCCAGAGGAAGGATCCCCGTACAGCCCTGAGTTCTCCAGCGGCTGGGAGCCCCCCGCCACTGACCCGCAGGGCCGCGCCTGGGGGGACCCAGTCGAGAAACAGCAGCAGCACGAGCGGCGGCGCCGGCAGGTGAGCACCGGACACCACCCCCCCCCCGCCTCCCCTGCCCAGGTGACACAGCGGGGCCGGGACCGGGCAGTCTGGCCCTACCTGAGCCACTGCTCTCCTCTCCCCCGCAGCAAAGTGCCCCCCAGGTCGCTGTCAATGGGTGAGTGCCGCCCCCAAGGTGGGACAGGTGGGGTCGAGGAGGGGTGCGCCCTGGGGGCTCCTGGCACTGACTCTGTTCCTTTCTTCCGTCTTCCCTTCTGTCTTCCCGGCTCATCACAGGTGGGTGAGGTGGTGAGGCGGGAGAGGGGCCCGGGCTGGGAGGGAGGGGGCGCAGATCCCAGGGCCGGAGGGAGGAGGGGGTTGGGAGTGGGTAAAGTCTGAGAGGCTGTGAGAAGGCAGTAACTTCCCAGGGCCTGGGGAGCTCCCTGTCTGGGTCCCTAAGAGGATAGAGCCCAAGGTGTTGGAGGCAGAGACTGGGGAATTGGGCCTTTGGGGTTGGCAGAAGAGCCCGACTTTGGTGCTTGGGGCCTTGGAGACCCAGCCAAGCCCTGGGCCTTCAAGGGTCACGGGGCACGTTTCTGGGAAAGTTGGGAAGTGGTAGTATTTCCGGGCCCCTGAAAGAGGTGAAGACGGAGGCTGGACCCTCACTCTCCCAAGGCTCTAAAGCCCTTGTCTCATTTCCTGCTGGAAGTGTTATACTGAGAGCCTTTAAGGGTTAAAAAGTTGGGGAAATTGAAGTTTGAGACCTGGACTCCTGAGTCTCCGGGGGAGGAAATACCGGGGGGGGGGGGGGGGGGGGGTCGTCTACGGAAAGAGTAAAAAACTCAGCGGTCATAAAATCAAAAGAAAAGGG